TAAGAATTTTAAAATCTTTTCATTATTATCCTTGTCATTTTAATAGGTAGAAAGTCTTAATTTTTTTTTTATAATCTCTTATTTTTATGATTTTAAAAAAGATATATCCTAATTGACAAAAATGAAAAAAAAAATTGCATATATTTTAAACCCGATATTTTGATCTTAAATTAAGATATTATAAATGATTAGGCACAAAAAAATAATAAAAATTATTTTACAGTCTAAATTATATTAAATTATAAAATAATAACCTTTGGATTGGGAAGGACTCCTGGTATTGAGTCCTCCTCTCTTAATCTAAGAGTTTTAATTTTTACAGTTTAATATAATTTAAATTACAAAACAGGTAACATACACACCAACTCAAAATGAAGAGGTGGAAACAAATTGAAAATTTAGATATCCTTTCAACACTGCAAAATGAAAACTACAAAAATGGGCCAAATCTTAGAAGGGCTAATGCACCCTCAACAATTCCCAGTTCTGGCTATGGGCCTACGATCAGTAAAAAGCCCACTATGGAGCCCAAAATAAACCCCCATTTTCAATTTGACTTTTTGGTTATAGTTACAAATATAATATAAAATTATAAATTTTCAATTATAAGGTAATATTAAATATATATATATAATATTATAAATAAATATCTAAATAAAAAAAATTAATTAGATAACAACATAAAACAATACCATTTCGATTCTAACTATCTCATTTTCGTTTCATTTTTGTGTGGTATTTAATTGGAGGAAACGATTTTAACTTTCAAGCATATCTCAGATGATGCACATGTTTATATTTATTATCATTGGACCAACAACTTATTTGTCTAAATGGAACAAGTTTAAACTTTTTTTTTCAAATAAGATTTTGAATTCGAGTTTTGTAAATAAAAAAATAAATATTAAGAGAGTTTTCTTTATTACGGTATCTAACTCGACTCAATTCTGAGGTAATCAAGGTACAATGTGATTTTCGAATATTGAAATTAATATAAAAAAATTACCATTGGGCTAAGCCCAATGGCTTTTGGATTTAACAAAGGAAAATGAATATGAAAATGATGGAAAGGGAATTTGTGAGCCGAAACCGAGAAAGAAAGAGAGCCCACACCGACAGTGCCTCGTTTAATTAATTGAATGAGGTTGGCAGTTTGTAACGGAAAATGGCCCATTGTAAAGCAGCTTTCCCTCCACACCATGACTTTCTATTTTTGTGTTGAAAATAAGCCATTGGGACCCGCTATAGGCTCTGTTGTACTAGGTTAATTAACTACTAAGGCCCATGGTTTTTCTCCCCTACCCTAGCTCAAGAGCTATTTTTTTTTTTTTAACGGTTTACGATTTGGGAGGAGAGATTTTTTCAAGGTGTTGGTATAGTTTGAAATTTTGATCAATTAACTTAAATGTTTTTAAGGCTTGAGGATGAATCGCTTGAGGTCAAAGACCCAGTTCTACCTCAAAAGACTAATTAAATTGTATAGAAAAAAAGATGCAAATAAATATATTAAATTTATATTTATTATTTAAAAATATTAATTTATTAATTATTAAATAAAAATTTTTTTATTTAGGAAAATCAGGTTTTAATTTTTTTAATTTAAAGATACCGATATTTAATATTTTAGTTAAAAAATATGTTTGTCATGGTCGCATCATTATCCAATTAATTTTTAAATAAAAAAAGTTAAAAATTGATATTTTTAAATAGAAAATGATGAAAATTAGTATTCTTATTTAGAATAACAAAATTAATATCTTTAAATAGAAAAAAATATGAAATTGATATCTTTATTTATACATTTACTCAGTTGTATGGTTAAATTTTTTAATTTGAGCCATAAGTTACAAGTTAAAAATATATTTATTGTACTATCTTATCATTAATTTGTATTAAAAAATTGACTTAGTTTTATCAATTATTCAATTAAATTGTTTCATATAACATTGATGTTGAAAATAAAAGTTATTTTCATAATTTTTTTATACAAATTAATACTAAGAAAGTGTAATAAATACACCTTAAAATGCAGATAAAAAAAATCCTAAATCATAAGACTAATCTCATACAATATTTACAAGTTGTTTCATCCACAAGTGTCAAATAAAATCCTACTCAAGAATAGGCTGTTGCCTCTCACATAACTAAATTTAAGTACAAAAACCATGGATATGTTTCACAACAAAAAAATTGCCCGTTTATGTAAAAAGAAAACAATTTGGTGTTTTGTAACTTGGACCATACCATACTGCAAAGTATTGATTATTGATTGGAGAGTCTCTTAATCTAATGGCAAAACATTTCTTTGAAAAGAAAATATGTCATCCTAACATGTGAATTGCTAAGGATAA